TTTATGACAGATTTCAACTTATCTTCTATTTTTGTGCCTTTAACCTTTATTGAATATGCAATATGGATTTTTGTTTCATACTGCATATTCTTTTGGGTAGGTCCAAAAGGATGTGGTATAGGGATTTATATCCTCATTGAGGGTGTATCCTTTAATATAGCAGAATGGCAGACCAGGATTCGTGTAGCCGAACCTAATTAATTGAAAAAAGGCTATGATAATCATGATGATGATTATTGCATATTCCTTTAGAATTCTAGCCGATGTTCAATTGATAAATAGTAACTCTTGTTCTTAAATAATGAATAATTTTTCTTGTTCTTACTTCTTTATGGTACATATTTTCTTCTTCTCTCTTTGTGTTCCTTTGATGTAGAAGTCTCGTGCATGCAAAAGACTATCATCTTTTTGTTTCATTTTATTGAGATTCTACACCTTTGTTTTATTCGCAATAAATAAGCAGTTGAATGATGAAGAATGGGTAGAGAATCCCTACCTTCACCAAATTGTGGCATGGTGGCTGCAATCTAATGAAGTTTGATGATCTCATCAAACTACACCACGCATTCCTGCTCCTTGCATGACTTCTTGCAGGATAGTAACTATTTTCTTTCCTACTTGTAATTGTAGACCGAGATGAGACTATGACCATCTTAGTCATGGGCGGGCTGGAATGATTGAAATGTAAGAACTTGAGAATCGTAAAACTGACATGTTATCTTTTCTTATTCATCTTTTTAGTGTTATGTGTTTCCAGTTTTGGAGGGGGAAGAGATTTTATATCTTTTTTGTGATTTGGAGAATAGAACTTGATCCATGAGAACAATATGTTGTACTTGTTTAAGGGAAATTTGCACAAAAATCTTATTTAGTTTTTGTATTTTAAAAGGGTTAAAGTGGTTTATGCGTTGGGGGGGTAGAGAACTTCTCCCACCCATCGTAAAAAAAGATGGGGGATTGTGGTCTCTCAAAAAAAAACGAACCAAAATCAATGGTTTAGAGTTATGCTTCAAAAAAGATTCATTTTAATTGTTTTATGGAAAGATATCTTTTTATTCCCTATTTTTAACTTCCATATCTTATGAAACCCAAGAATTAAAAATATTACTTGTAAGCAAAATGTTTCCATTTTTTCTATCTTACAACCCCCTGGACCCCTTTGACCATAAATTTTTAACCCAAATAAACACTAAAATAGCACCTTATTCAAACTCCATATCTCTCTCTCTCTAAAACTCTATCTCTCTCTCTCTCTTCGCTTCTCGATGAGTTTACCAACCAAGGGGTTTAGCTAGGGTTCGAACATGAGCACATTTTCTTATGTGTGAAAGAGAGATAAAGTTTTAGAGAGAGAGAGATAGAGTTTGGGTTTTAGAGAGAGAGAGATATAGTTTGAATTTTAGAGAGCTGGAGTTTTAGAGAGAAAAATGAAGTTTTAGTTTTAAAGAGAAAGATGAAATTTTAAGAGAGAGAGACGATGATGTGAGAGAAAGAGATGGAGTTTGGGTTTTAGAGAGGATGGAGTTTTGAAAGAGAGAGACGATAATGCGAGAGAGAGATAGAGTTTTAGAGAAAGAGAGAGATAAAGTCATTTTATAAGTTGTTGAGGTCAATAATACATGATCAAAAGGGTTTAAGGGGTTGAAAGATAGAAAAGATCGAGTCATTTTACTTACAAGTAATATTTTCTAATTCTTAAGTCTAATTTCTAATTCTTAGGTCTGATGAAATATAGAAGTTAAAAATAAAAAATAATAGGATATTTTCCCTATTTTATCTGTAATGAATGGATCTCATCATATCATATGCTATCTCCAACACACATTTTATTCTTCAACTCCCTATTGATGGCAAATGATACAATTCACGCCGAGGTCAAATATTTGAAGAAATAAGAAACATAGCAAGGGTCTCGTAAGCACATGATACAATTCATGTCGAGGTCAAATATTTGGAGAAATAGGAAACATAGCAGGGGTCTTGCAATGAATAAGCAGGCTCCGAAGTGAAATTAACTATACAAAACACCATCTGGCGTTCTATTTCACCATAAAAAAATGTTATCAAAACAAGATCCCACCAGACTAAATTCATTCCTCAACTAATTTTATTGGAAAATTTTAAAGCCAATTTGAATGTATTGGAATATTTTTGGATTGCAATACAAAAATCTTTTAAAATGGATTTTGACTGTCTGGACAGAGGTTTTGCCAGATTTTTAGATTGAAAGAAAAAAAAAATTTCATACCAAGGCAAAAAATGCCATAATAAAAAATTCAACTTTTACTTGAATTTTTTTGACTTGAGTTGCGTTTCACGTGCCTCTCTCTCTCTCTTTAACCCTCACGCCTGCGAACCCCTTCTCTCTCTGCACCTAATGGTCATGGCCCCAAACTACGTCTCTCCCATCGCTCCAAACTTCCTCTGTAAAACCCTTCTCTCTCTAAACCCAATGGCCCCAAACTTCCTCTCTCCTATCGCCCCAAACTTCCTTCGCAAAACCCTTCTCTCTCTACACCCAATGGCCATGGCCCCAAACTTCCTTTGCGAACCCTGCTCTCTCTACACCCAATGGCCATGGCCATGGCCCTCGATCTCTCCATTCTGGCCACAACCAACAACTTCATCAAGAAGAAGAAGAGGAATTAGGGCTCTGCTGCATGGGTATGAATAACTTTTGAGGATATATCAATACTTTGAGCAAGAGCATCTTGGTTCCCTAAAAGCATCTCCTTCTTGGTAGCTGTTCGCAGCCTCTGAGCATGAGCTTTTGAGCAAGATCCCAATCATCTGGGCATTGGTGGCCTGCCTTATAATTCATGTACTGAGAGAGAAGATCAATGGAGTTTACGCAGGCATGCCCAACTGCTGAAACCATCTCTATGATCCCTATTCTCAAGTCCTTACCTAAAGGCTGAGCTTCCATGTAAAGCTTGAGCTCATAGGGCATACCAAGAGCGGAGAGATCTAGGGTTTCTAACCAATGAGCTCCTTCTGCATTTGAGTCAGCTTGTGCTGAGCGGAGTTCATTTCAGAGAGGATGAGAGACACTTGAAGAGAGATGAGAGAGAAATTCTTTTGGTGGTGGGCGGCAGAGAGAGAAGAGGTTTGATTAGCAGGGAAGGAGAAGGTGTAGAGAGCTAAGAGGTCAATAAGTAGCAAAGAAAAGAGCATTATGGCATTGAGGATGGTCGAGTAAGATGGTGGTGGCTCTGAATCTAGCAGTGCCAACCCCTATCTTAAGAGAAACATAGCCCATTGTTAGAGAGAGCTAAAGTTACAGGAAGGTTTAGAGAGAGAAAGGTCGGAAGGGTAGAACACAGATTTTTGACTGATGGGAGGGATCCCTCTATAAAACCTTTTGGAATGGAAACATAGTGACAGTGTTGGAAGGGTAGAATGCAAAACTCCATACAAATATCGAGCAAATGAAATCTTGTATTTTCACACACCATCCAAACAATCCAATAGAATACTAAAAAAAAGATCATTATATTTTTCAATTCAGGTTGAAAAACTTACAATTTTTTTCAATGTGAAAGTTTTTTTATTTGACATCCAAACTGGCCCTTAACCATAAAAAAACTATATATCCCACCGAAGATCCAATCTTTGATGTTAGTCATGAGAAAGTCTCTGCTCTAAGTTGAAATGTAATTGTTTATGGCTCCAATCGTAGTTTATCATGTTATGGTCATCCAACCCTACTGCCAAAAACAATTAAGGAACCCTCCAATAAATATTAGCTAATAGTAAGGGATAACAAAATACTGAGAGCCACTGTTCCAAGCTTCATCATCATCATCAATGCCTTTGCCCAACTAATTGGGTTGGCTACAAGAATCATGTTCCGCCATTATGCTCTATTAAAGGCCATATCTTTAGTAAGACCGTAAATCCCCATATCTATTCTCATTACTTCCAACTCTGTTCTTTTGGACCTACCTCTTGTCCTTTTTTAGCTTTTTACTTGAACTAACTCGCACCTCTTAAAAGGTGCTATACTTGATCTGCCCCACACATGGGGATAACAAGAATCTTTATAGTCTATCGTGCATCTAAGCCAAAAGATACAATGCATTGTAATTCCCAAAATTCATATCTTACGGGACTCAGGAACTGATAAGGACTTCATGACTACTTTTGACATGATTGATCATGCACAAAGCTTCTATAACAAGATACAAAATGAATGCAGCAGATTCTCATGTCTAGAAGATATCTATGTACATGCATAATAGAAGCAATCAAGTATGACAACACTCGAGCAGTTTTTGTGGAGAAGGTTTCATAAGATAGAAGGTATCAGGCCTTAGTATAAACAAATTTAAATTATAATTTCTATTTCTCATTCCATGTCATTGGCAAATATTATAATAGTATCTTGGAATGTTTTCCTGTTTCTATTGTCTTTATAAGAGAGGAATCCAGTGTAACGTTTTATTTAGTATACAATTGAATATTGATACTACCCAAAATCACTTCCCAAAAAATGATAGTTTTGGATCTTCAGCTGTGAAATCTAAAAGTTTGGATATAATGAAGGAAAATGCAAAATTTTATACATAAAAAAATAACAGGTCGTGAAGATCCTCAAGAATAACTGAAGTCTGAGGACCTAGAACTCAACTTTTTCATTCAATAATAAACTTGATGATCATTTTGAGCCATTCGCAACACAACTGATTATCTACTAATAAAATTTATTTAAAAAATTTATATAATTTGGAGAAAAGCCAATTGTACTTCAACAAAATCACCGAATATAAATATTATTAGATTAAATTATCAGCAATCTTTACAGTGTGTGATTAAATGAAAAATCCTCCTAATCAAATTTAAGAAGTATTTACGAATTCAATAAGTTGTTACAAGTTTCTATGTTCTATCAACAGAACCACAGCAATTTTCCCACTTTTCCAGCAAAAATCTCCAAACACAAACACGGCAAGGTTAAGTTTTCAGTGCTATTTGCAGTGTGAGTAAATAAGGGAAAAAAATGCCAAATTTCCAAACAATTCACCACTCCTCTGAATTTTGTGAGTTTCAACACTTCATAAATGGAATTACAATAGAACCAATTTTCAGCAAAATTTCAAGTGTAAGACTCAAAAATGGCATACAGTTTCAGACATTTAAGACTTACTCTAATTCCACGGCCATTATGAGAGACCTGGATGAGTCTGAGACCTCCATCCTTTATAGCTACACTGATTGAAGTGCAATCAGCATCATGACTATTCTCGACAAGCTCTTCTACAGCAGAAGCAGGCCTTGTCTATTTACAATAGAAGACCCGAGGTGATGTATATAAGATATGATCGTGGTGTAAGGACCTAGGTTGATGATATGGTAGAAGGCCATGGTGAGAGAACCGGAGGGCTCATCATTCTGTCTCTCCCCGATCGCATGAACTGCGCCCTTAGAAGGTCCAGCAAAGATGCTAGTTAAGGTATCTCGCAATGTGTAAGGTCTGTCTTGTACCTAGGGACCAAGATCAATTGATCTCCTATGACTTCATAAGACTGGGCAACAATGACTCGTAGGACGAAGGCAAAGGTCCTCTCCACAGCTATAACTTCTCCTGGATTTGGTCCTGAACCAAATAGTAGACATCAGACAAGATGAAACAATTGCTTTCCAAGTTCTAGAGGCATTTGCATTGGCCAACACCCTGTGTAGCAATCCAGGGTTGTCCTGTTGTAGTAACATGTTCAGGCCCGACAGATCCGAGTCCCAAATCTTCATAATTACCTAATAACAGAAATCCTTTGACAACAAAAAGCATGGAGATGTAGCTAGCATTATTCATTCAACAATACGGAGAGCCCAGCATACCACAACATGAAGAGCCTTGCATAATGGGGAGAAGTAATACATCGAGCAACAAAAAAAAGAAGAATCCCATATCTCAATGGGATGCAATAAATAACAATCTAGAAATAACAAGATATTCAACCATTCAACCAGAGGTCCCAAACAGAATGATTGCCATACCAACAAACGAATCGGAATGCAAGTATAAATAACTGCATATTCAAATATAAATAGAACAATCCCTATCACAATAGCAAACAATCAAATTTAAGAAGACCGAGTAGACAGTTGGCACCACTAGCAAATAAATAATCCACAACACAAACCAGTATTATCATAAGTGCTGAGCTTCAGCCCCCAAACCAACCATCAACAGCAATTTATTGAAAACTATCCAAAAAGTTGTGACATAGTCAAAATGTTTTCATATACATTTTATATTATTTTTTTGTTTTTATAAAAAAAAAATAAAGATCTCCCCCAAATTGGCCAAGGCACTTCTATTTCTCGGGCAGAAACATGATGTCTCTAAAGCAAACCTGATAACACTGATACATACTACACAAAAAGATGTCAATTGAACTTAACAAATCAGGAGTAGCCGTGGGAGGTTTGACCGAGATGGACTAATAGAAAGATGACCTCAAAAAGTGCCCCCCAAGAAATGTACCCAAAGGGGCGTGAACAGGGGATCAAAGGACCAAATCTCTGGAGAGAATTTGACTTAAAAGGTCAACGGCATCATGTGATCATGCCTAATATGCTTGCACGAGCCTGATCCAAGCCTTCAACTTGCACTCCTACTGAGTCTACCCAAATAGTCTAGCTTCCTCAGCCATATAGTTTAATGAAGCCCTTATAACTCATTCTCAATGCCGAAGTCTCGCATTCTTGTCTGGCCATGAGCTATTAAGGCAATTAAATTCCATCTGCAAATTTCAGAGTCAATATTCTATTTGTACTCTTATCCAATAATTTGTAATTTCTAAACTTCTAGTATAACCAACCACGTTATAACTATCAAAATTGCCATCTAGTTGTCTCCCGAATCATGCAATACATGCCTATTCCATAGTAAAAGATGTTCGTAGGACTACATTACTATACATCAAACTTGGATCTTTTGAGAAATTCAAGTCTCCTCCAAATTATCTGATAACAGGTATTGTAAGCATGAGAATAAATGATCAATTATGCACATATCATCAAGCATGGAGCGAAAATAACCAGACTCAAATGTCAATTGAAAAACTAACAATAAGCACGCAACATACATATGAAAATTGATCTCACACATCATAAAAAGAGACATCAAAACCAGATTATTATAAGATAAAACTGCACTGACCAATGAACAAGAGTACTTAAGCCATTGGTCGAATGCTCTTTTTGACCCAACGAGTGAATTCATCTAATTGGATACAGGTGTAAGCAGGGGCAAGGAGCTCATTTCGAAACTATCAAAATCACATGAGAAGCCATCAAGCATGTCTAATGGGCTATAAAGCCAATACTGATGAAATATGTATAACTCCAGCAGGAAAAGATGCTGACTCAATAAAACCTAGTAACCTACACATTTCAGTTTCCTAAGGGCGTACTCAACTTTCCGTAACTACCAAACCTTCTAGTTAGACTGCAGCTTTTCCCCCTTCTGCCTGCCCAAAGTATGGCAAACAACTTACAATAATGTAGGAGTGGGATTAGCAACTACCAAAAAATACACTTTATATTAAGGGGTAGAGAGAGAGAGAGAGCTTCTAGTCTCATAAGATCCATGGGTTCTGACATTCATAGAATATGGTATGCATAAAATAGGGAAAATATCATTCAACAGGTCAAAACCCCTTACAAAATCATTAAAGGGGTATATCCCATTAACATTATAAAGTTCATTTTAATTTTCATTCCACCCAAGTACCTTCTCAAAAAATATTTAAAAAGAAGCCCAAATTGCCCCTAGTCAATAATTTAAGGCCACAACCAAATGACATGAGCATCAAAACTAATGCAGTGGGTGTTCAATTTATTTATTTTATTATTTCTTTAGATACTAAAATTATTTGGCTTTTAAGCTTTCTTTTATGGTATTGTGCCGTTTTTTAGTTGTAGAGAATTCGAGGCATGTTAGGAAGTTTAATTTTAACTAGATTAAGGGCTGGGATTAATTTTGGTTCGGGCTTCTTAAGGAGAAAGTTAGGTTTTAGGATTTTTCTTTTGTAAATATATAAGTGTTGAATAAGAAAAGCTACAGCAAGAAAAATAATTGATTTTCGGTCTTGTGAAGATGGACTCTTTGTAGACCGAGAGAGAGGGTCAAATCTATCAACCTTAGGGGTGGGACTCTCCAATAGATTGATAGAGAGGGTATACTCAATGGTATATTCTCTCATCCCTTTATTTTTATTTTTGTGATTTGTTAAGTTTCTTTTTTCATCTTTCCTTCATCAATTTGTTTTTCAAAATTACTGAAATGTCCCCTCTTGTTTAGGGTTCCCAACAATGAACATAAGGAAATTTGAGCATTTTTTAAAAATATTTTTTGAGGAACTTGAGTGAAATGAAAATTGAAAAATGAACCATACATCATTAATTTGAGAACTTTCGATGCCCTTATGATTTTGTAAGGGGTTTTGACCCCTTAAATGGTATTTTCCTTATAAATTAAAAGGCAAAAAAGGCAGCCCAGCTGCTTAGTGCTCCTCACATAAAGAGCATGTCAACCAAGCTCATGTGATTGGCATTCCAGTCTATAAGCAATTCTAAAGACAAGTAGATGGGAGGCACTACAAAAAGTACATTCCACTACCAACTTAAGATTATGATGCACAATACTTGAGATAAATGCAATGCATGCAAGAGTAATGAGAATATGAGATCACTGAAGACAACAAGAAGGCGGAATATATAACATACATGCATAGTTACCGGGATCTCCCAACTCAGTGGTGATCCTAGCAATCCTACCCTCCTGGTGCTGGACCTTCGGTGCATATCCCTTCCAAATGGGGGGAACATGATCTCAATCCCTTAAGGATCAGTCGATATGAATCACGCTCATGCTAGATTGATCTTTATTAGAAACAAGTCTTAAATGCATGCCTATTAAAAAGAGAAAGAAATTATGTTGCAAAAACATGTTCCGTATATTTCTCAAAGAGAAAAGAGGTACTTTTACGATATTGGTCTCTAATCTTTAGAATTTATCATGTGTTCCCAGAAAGTTGGAATCTAGCTCCCCAATATGTTGGGATCGAGACCCCTAAAATTCAAAGTGTAAAAGACAATTATCCCGACCATAGGGAGCTTCTAGCCTATCATGATCCCACCCAATCCCACTCCCACTCCCACTCCCACTCCCACTCCAGATCTCACTCCCAATTCCAACAACAATGACATGAACAGGGTTTAAGGGTTACATTAGAATCTATTGACGAGATAGATGGCATTCTAAGACGCTGAATCAATCACAGGCTCCGATAGTGCTCCACAAACACAGCAGAGACCCAGGATCATTAATATGAGAGCCTATAACATGCTTCATGTGCAACTGTAAGGCTAAATATATCCAGGGTAACTGATTTGAGTTCCAAGTTCTAACATTTTATACCCACTGTTACCCAGCTAAAGAACAAACCATCTCTCTGCAATGTGGGCTTTGGTTTTAGACGAAAGCAAAGCCCCAGACAAACCTTTCTCTTTCACAGATTTACACAATGCGAGCTATAGTTTACATATGGAATACAAGCAGGAGAAACATAGTAAGGGGGTTAAGGTAACAGATGGTTCCTCTAAACTGTAGTCAATTTGGAAGGGCGTAAATCCTGAAAGAATAGATTTTAGGAGATAGTTAAGTTTAAGTGAGTTGATGAAGAAAGGATAAGGGTTTGAGTAGACATCAAATGCGAGGAAGCCTCATGCAGATTTAGGGAAACATGTTTTGATTCGAAAGCCTGGTTCAGGGATCACTTGATCATTTGAGAGAGAGAGTAGCAAGGTGCTCAGTTGTCCCTATTTTAGGACGGATCTTGGGGATGGGGAGTTTGCTTGGTTGCCAGGTGTTCGATTGTCCCTATTTTAGGAGGGATCTTGGGGATGGGGAGTTTGCTAGCATGTGTCAACTTTTCAGCAGTCACAACTCATTTTATAATTCCACATGGTAAATCCAATAGAAATGTTTTTTCTTGAGAAGTTGAGATAGCAATAATTTATTCTTAGATCCTTCTATAGTTTTTTTTGGCATATGGATCATGGGAAATCCCCTTATATCATTTCTTTTGAGCAGTTTATTTTTACATCATTTCAAGTGTCCCTGCTTAATCAAGAGCTCATGTTTTCCATGTGAAGCAACAATTGATAGGGCCTTATTTCTAACCATCTTTAGCATGACAAGGTCCAAGTCTTTAACATTTGTTATATAGGTTTAGAAGAAATCATAGACTGACCCATCTATCTCCTTCTTCGATGTCCTTTTGCCGGATGTTGGGGGATTTCTGTTAGAAATCTTTAAGGTGAGATGGGTGATGCGATCTTCAAGCTCCTCTTTGGCAACAGAAATCCTCCCATACCTTACTGCTGAGGACATGAACAATGGATTATCTGTTTCTTTATTATCATCCACGACATCCGAAAGGAGTAAAGCTACATGTTATTTCAACTTGATAGAAAGGGAATTCAACTTGTGCTTACTTCTTAGCCTCTAGCATTGTATGATTTCTAACGACTTAGAGCTCGGGACCTCATCAGACTTTGGGGGATGGTGAAGAACTTGGACTATTAGATTGTGTTCACCAGGAGACATATTCGGCCAACTTTCTGAAGCTCAATTTTTTTGATGATAGCTTTCTCAAGGATCATAGAGCAGGTGAGTTTGGAGGCATCAAAGATCGTTAGAGGACACAATGAAGAACAAAACATACAATACGATGATGATGGAGGCAATAGCACTATTTACTAGTTTGAGAGTTCTCATAAGTATGTGTTCTGTACACTATTGTTGGTATAAAGCACTACCCAGTGTCAATAAATAAGTCCAAAAATAATCCACATGTCCCTGAATACTGGTTGACTTTTGGAGGGGAACAACTAACTCAGCAGCTCCAGCAGGATTACCTTCCACATGTTCTCGAAGATACTAATGACGCTACTTCTTGGATAGCCAAGAAAAGGTGCAGTTAAAGCTCTTCGCTTGAGTTTCCTTTCTGTTGGCTAAAATAGGTCTCTTGTTCCATTTATTTTCAAGCTTTTTTATTTTCCTTTGTTTTGCACTCAATCTATATGTCTCTATCACCACACACCTTTACTTCTTTGTACAAATTCATCCATACAGAAACAAAAAATTATGATGCAAGTCTGTCAAGCATCTATTTCTAATAATCATGAGAGTTCCCCAAAGATATTATCGCTGCTAAATAGTAGAGAGACTGTCAATATCAAATACCGATCGAACATAATATTGCCTCTGATATAATATCAATGATCCACCCCTTTAATGCAAAGAAAACCATCTCAATTAGGAATGATATAATTCGAGAAAAAAATAAGTACATAAGACAAATGAGAGGAAAAAAAGGCCCATGGAGTTAAGAAATACACACCTTGAATACAAACGATAATCTTCTAGATCATTAAAAAACATTATATAAAAAAAAAAAACGATTAAATGATTTATAATTCAAAACAATAAAAAAAAAAAGTGAAGAAACAATCTTATTTAAGAACATATCACATATATCTTAAGTTCAAGTTGACTTGTTATAATTCTATCCAAAACTTAAAACTCTAAAATAATAAGCGAAAATGATTTTCTTCTCTTACCTTATTGTTGGATGTATATCACATAAATTCTTGCAACTGGAAAATGCTATAAAAAAAGTAAGAAATAGGATTAGAGCTCAACATCGAATTACTCAACAGACGCCATTAGTATGCCAATGCATACAGGATGGATGTTTGCATCCATAGAAAATAAAATACATGATCGAAAATGAAATTTTCATGCTATAGCTCTCACCACGACTATTCAGCCATGAACTATGATGGTGCATCTCTCATCTCATCCAGCACAGGTTATATCCTTAAATAATACCACCATTAATGGATTGTCCCTCTCTCAACAGAATTTCCACTTAAGTAACCATAACAGGTTTCACCTTTTTCACATATTCGTATCTTTTACGAATCCCTTCTTCAATCCTCATACAGAGTTCACTAGGCATGAAAGCATCTTCACTAGCCAAGAGAAGTGCATCCCTTACCAACTTGTACGTATAAGCTCTAGGAATAGATCCTCTCTCAACCATTTCAACAAGAAAATCACGAGCTTCAAGAACCCTTCCTCCTTCACATAACGCATGAATAATTGGGGTATATGAACTCGATGTGGGTACACCATGATCCCTTGAAATCATATCACGAAGCATCTTAATGGACTTATCAATATCATTGACTGCACTGTAAAACCTAATGAATGAGTTGTAAGTAATTTTATTTGGGGAACATTTTTGAAGCATGTCATTGAGAAGCTCAAGTGCCCTACCTATCCGATATGTTTTGCAGAGGCCATCGATCAAGCAATTGTAGGTCACGACATCTGGTTTAAACCCTTTGAACACCATTAAACGAAAGAGATGGTTAGCTTCCCAAAGCCGCCTCCTAATAGCTTTGCTACAACCAGTTTGCATTGCATATTTACAGTAGAAATTGATCATGATTGTGTAAGTGAATGTATCTGGTGGGCACCTAGATCCAGGCAATTCCATTTGACCCATCAAAAACTTAGCTTTTTTGAAATTGCACACCCTACAAAGCACACATATGATGGCATTATAAGCTACTACATCAGGCTTGCAGTGAAATTGCTTCATCCTATAAAATGCACCCAATGCCTCATTAACAAGCCCCTCTTCTCCAAGAATTTTGATAACACAAGTCACTGTTACAGTGTTAACAAGCCCGGCCCCCTTTCGATGCATTTCGTGGAGAAATTTCCACAATATCTTCAAACTGTTCCCTTTTGCTAAAGTGCAGGCCATCTCTCTACAAGTGATCTCAGTATGTTGAAATCCACCTTCTGATTCTAGCCAAAAGAAGAATGCCAAAGCTTTATTGACACCTTCTTCAACCTTTTTAGGGTTTCGATAAGCTGCAGGTCCTCTAATGCGAAGACCTAGTTTCGAATCTTCAGTTTCTTGGTATAGATTCCTCTGTCTCAAAGGAGCTCTTCTTCTAAAACCCTTTTGACAACCCAGGGACCTCTCACTCTGAAAGAAATACCTAGGAATGGCTCTCAGTACCTCAGAAACAAGGTCCACACTCCATTGATTCAGACGTAGAGCATCAAGGCCCTGATTCTGAACAAGGACTTCTATTACAGGTGCAACAATGCCTGGCAAAGTGGAGAGAGGCTCTGTGAATTCGGACTGAGTTGAAGGAGTTACAAAGTGATAGGAGCTTGTGAATCGAGAAAGGGCTATGGAGTTCAGAGAGACGGGGAGGTCCCATGAAACCCTAAATTTTGATCGACTGCAGCTCCATATAAAAGTTATGTTACCCATCATGAATATGAGTTTTTAACAGTCAAGTTTCCCATTCAAGACGATGAGCATTCACCTGTGAAGACATTGAAATTTCTTCATGAAATTGACCAGAACACCATGAATGATGCATCCATTTCTAAGATGAAAATAGAGAAAATAGAACATGAAAATCTTAGCAGCAGGTCAAAAACAAGCATTCGCTGATTTTCTCAGAGGAGAGGACACCAGTAAAAACAAATAAGGATTCAACCTAGTAGTGGTTTTTGGGTCTAAAAAAGATCCTGGTTAAAATCTAAAATAGAGATTATGCACTGAAAATGTGAAATACAGTGGACGTTTTTTTACCTATGAGTTGAGAAGTACACGAACTTCATGATATGCAGCCGACATGCATTAAAGAAGGAAAAATAATGCAAATTGGACATAATTCAGGAAAATGTATTCTCCCTACTTATTGTAGTAGGGACGCAGCTCTCAGCACCATCCAAATGGATGGATGGTGCTGATTTGGCACACATTTTGAACATGGAAACCAGGGCTTACATGTGCCCAGTTGCCCTTCTATCTTCTTCTCTGTCTCTCTAGCTTATCTCTCACTTTATTCCTCTCTCTACGATGCCATCAACCCACATTTTTTCTCTGCGCTGGGATCGAATCAATTGGGTCAATCTGGTAAGCAGTGAGCTTCTAGGTAAAGCTTGAGTTCAGAGGGCAAACTACGAGTTCAAAGATTTAGGTTTCAAAGCCAATGAGAAGGGGTTTAATGAGAAGGTAAGGAGAAAGATTTAGAGAGAGAAGGGTTTGTTGGGAGAAGACAAAGACGGTCGTGGCTTTTGAATCTGGCGGTGCCGAACCCATTGCTAGATAGAGAGAGGAGTATAATTTGCAAGAGGGTTTAGAGTGAGAGGGTTTGCATTAAGTGGAGGGACTCTATGAGATATGTGAGAAATGGGGGAAGTCCAAATCTGTTAAGAGATTTAAAGTTTAGAGAGTAAAGAAGAAGAAGAAAAAGAGAAAAATCTAGAAAGACAAATTGCTTAGCCTGAAACTTTCACGACTCCTTTGTTGTGATGCTTTGAAATCTATAGAAAGAGGAAGAAGAACAAGAGACAGAAAGCCGCTTTGAAATCTACTGCGAGGAACAAGAATGATAGAAAAACTTATTAGCCTGAAATTTCACTGATATTTTCCAAGAAAAACCTAATTTTCTTGTTCTAACAAGTTTCTTTTTCTTAACAAATTTTAAAATCCTGTATTTCTTAACTTTCTATGTACAAACCAAAAATCAAACAATTGAAGCTTCCAGAGCAATCCACAAGCATTAAAAGATAAATCTCTTTCATTTAGCAGAGAACCATAAAGGTAAATCTTGACCAGCACATCTCTCTCTCTCTCTTACTAGAGAGATAATCCCTCCATGGAAGCAGTAGAAATCAGCGATTTGGGAGCTAGAACATTGCCCAAAAGCGTGAATTTGCCCATTTTCCATGACTCCTTTCTCTTTGATGGTGAAGCCATTCCTCAACTTGGTGCGCCAATTTCGAGAGATAGAACCGGTGGGTTTTGGCTCTCCTTTATCTCTGCAAGCCTTTGGCCCTCTTTGTTTCTTCATCGAACAGAAGTAATGTCCACCATCTCTCTCTCTAGAACAAAGTCTCTCTCAGCGAGTCTCTCTCTATGGGCTCGTTGGGCTCGTTTGGTTCATGCATAATAATCAAATAGAGGGACTCACACAATATACTAATTAACTCATAAGAAAGCCCTAAATTACATGAATCAAACTCAATGAAAACAATTAAACACCCAACCGTCTTTGGCTACCTCTTTTTTTCTTCATAGAACAGAAGTAATGCCCACCATCTCTCTCTAGAATGAAGTCTCTCTCAGGGAGTCTCTCTCTATGGGTTTGTTAGGCTCGTTTGGTTCATGCGTAATAATCAACTAGAGAGAATTACACAATATACTAAATAACTCATAAATACTAAATAACTCATAAAAAAGCCCCAAATTACATGAATCAAACTCAATGAAAACAATTAAACACCCAACCGTCTTTGGCTAAGACTACAATGATTACCCACAAAACAAATCAACCAACAAGACGTAAAATCAATGCCCTAAACCTCCAAAAACCAGATATCCCGCACTGTGAAGACTCAACCATTTAGGGACATAAAGATAAAAACCCAAACCACCAAAACCCAATTAACTTGACTTGATATGTCACCACCAAAACCAACAAAAAAGTCAAACAGGACGCCTGCCAAGGGCGAGCACCAACCCAACCTAATTAACAAAAACCAGTTGGAATTGGACGAACTGAATATTTTGAGCAACTTGACTTGATATGTCACTACAAAGAAATGTGGAATCATCTTTGTTGAATATATTTGCAGTCAAACAGATTATATACTTTAGTTGTTTCAAGAAATTATTCTTTGAAACAAAAAAAAACAAAAATCTTAATGAGTATTCACCAAACATTCTTAAAGTTATAGAGGCTGACACTCTGGCCTAGATTGGGAGGCCAAAACAATTTTTACAGCAAATCAGAGCGAGAGAAAACATCACATGGATAGGATGTATTGTGTACAGAAACAAAAGCACTAGTCTTAAAAGAAACAAAACTGTTATTTTATACACTTCTCAAAAATGCTTATAGACAAATCTTCAAGATAATGAAACAGAGGAATCACTAGCATGACAAATCTACCCGCAAACTAACATGTTTATACGTTAACAATCTAGAAGAAATAAAAACAGAAAACAATACTTCAAACAAAGATAGGTAACATATGCTCAAACATATTGAACCAAATCATCCTCAAACAATAATCAATTAAAATGTCAAGAAAACACAGTCAAACGAAGACTAAATGAGGGCAAATGGCATGGATCTGGGACTGATACAGCAGGGTAAAAATTACAATTCAAAGGGTAAGAAAATGCGATGAATCCCTAATTACAAACTTACTTGTGTGCAAAGAGATTGAACAAGCCAACTTAGTGTGTATATGTCCAAAAAAACATACAAAACCCTGTAAAAATTAAAAGAGAGATAATGGGGAACAGTAAGAGAGATAGCTGAGTAAAACCCAGAATGAGAGAGCCGGGGCTTAGAGAGAGGGAGGCGTTTGGTTAGAGAGAGAATGGGAGGGAGAAGCGATCGTGGGCTTAGAGAGAGAGAGAGAGTTTGTGGTATGAGAGAGAGGGCTAATAGAGAGCATAGGCCGTGGCCTGGTTAGAGAGAGAATGGGAGGGAGAAGAGATCGTGGGCCTAGAGAGAGAGACTGGTATAAGGGAGAGGGTTTAGTGAGAGAGGGACCATGGCCTGAAGAAGTGGTTACCTTGCTAGAGAGAGCACGGGCGTATGAAGGAATGGGTTAGAGAGAGAGAGAGAGAGAGATTTTGTAGGCTATGAATTTAAAACGAGCGACGGAGTTTTTGCTGGGTGGAAAATAGACAGTGGAAATGGAAAAAATTAATTTTTTTTTTTGAGGAAATGGGATCATAGAAATGCAAGTCACATTTTGATGATTTTGATTTTGTTGGTTTTAGATATCTGAGTAGATTTGGGTAATATCTAAGATGTTATAAATCCATGCCCCAAAATCTCTAAGAAGCCTTAAAGAGTGTGGTTTAGCTTAAACAATCCAACTAAGATACACTTTCAAATTTTATCATAAAATATAATTTTGGTGAAAAAAGTTCTAATCTATTTCCATATCTAATTATAAAATTTTAAAATTTAAAAATAGTTAAAATCAAGTAGATATATAAACATATGGAAATCTTGAAAATGAACGGTCTAGAAAATGTATTGCACGATGCACTATTTTTAGAATTCAAAATCTTTTTCTTTGTCATATTTATACATCTCGATGATCAATTAGAAGTTTTTCCAACATTAAAGCAATATTTTCCGATGGATTTTTAGATGCATCTGTAATTCTACATTTTAAGTTGGCAGCGTTATATAAATTCTTCACTTATTTAAAATTGGGATTGTATAGTATGATACTATTTATTTATATTATAAGGAGGTCACAATCGGTACTAGCCATTAGATATTAAAATTAGATGGCTTGGATTGTATCACAAAGGTCAAATTTTTTTTTTAAAATTAAATTTTAGTCAATAATACACTTACATCTATTTGATTTGAAATCAGATGGACAAAAATAATTGTGAACTCCTTGTATTAAAAAATAAACAATCTCTTTATATACTTTTCCTTTAGAATTTTACAGCCACACACTCTCTCTCTTATTGCCTAAAATGGTAATGAGTCACGTGCCTCTGTTTTCCTCCCTTATATGTGGTGTTGAGTTATTTGTGCTCTTTTATTTCCTATCATGGTAACGAGCCACGTGAAATGAAATTGACTCCCATGCGGCCCCTAGGCAACCTGAATTCTTCTTTCATTAAATAACTTAAATCACGAACCATAAGGCGCACTTTCAGAAAGTATTGAAAAATATTATTTCAGTACCGAAAATAATGACCTAAAAAATTATTTTTATCTCTAATTGTAAAATTCAAATCTTTAAAAATAGTGTAGATAAAGTACATCTGAGAAAATTGAAAAATATTGAAAATTGACCATCTAAATAATACATTACAAGATACACTATTTCTAAGATTTAAAGTACTTTTTTTTTATTTTTATTTTTACTTTTTATGTTTATGTATCTCAAGGTCAAGATGATCGGATTTAAGAGTTTTTCCAGCACCGAAACAACTTCTTCTGGTGAATTTATGAGGTACCTTAATTTGATTGTTTAGATATCAACCTTATATAAACATTTTTCATAATTAAAATAAAATAGAATATAAATTAAAAATATACATAATATAGAGAGAGACAATTAGTGACTTACATGCCCATTATAATTATAACAGATCTCTTTATTAAGCACATTCACATTTATTTATGGGAAAGTATAGAATGAGACCATTTACCTTTGGTACAAGGTGTTCATATTAATCTTGACTTGGATGTAAAATTGGGTGGTTGTAATTATTCCATTGACCAAGCTTAAACTTCGAAAGAAATTTTCTCGAACTTTGTGAACATAAGAGCCATCAAATTTCACATTGGATAGTTGTAAGTAATTGTGACAATCTTGTTTCAAAGGTAAACGATATCATTGTATACCATCCCTTTATTTATTTCAAGAGTTAATTGCGGACGGACCCTAAAAATGTAAGAAAATATAGGATGGTCCCATTTTAGCCAAAAATTATCACAAAAGTTGGTCAACGCATGGGTTTTCTCCCAAGTTTGCCCCTATGGTCCGATGCTGAAATTATTATACCGCTGTTTTTTTTTAAAACTTAAGTTGCGGTCCGAGGTTGAAATTCTCAGACCACTTTATTTTTTCAAAAACTTAAGTTGCGGTCCGAGGCTCAAATTCTCGAACTGCTTCATTTTATTCTTAGACTGATTTTTTTTTTTCAAAAGTTAAGTTGTGGTCCAATGTTCATATTCCTAGAGTACTTTAAAAACTTAAGTTGCAACAAATCTAAGCCTTATTCTCACTCATGGAAGAGGTCCGAGAATTTGACATGCATATACGGATGTTTTTTTCGTGAGCAGCCCTTGGTGCCCGCCTTCTTCTGGTTTTCTGAGGTGGTGTTTGATTTGTCTCGTTAGGCTTGTGAACAGCCCTGGCTTGGCGACCTACTTATCGTCTTAAGGACTTGAGTTTGTTTCGGCCGTGGTGGACTATCCATGGCTGGGAAGTCGAGGGTTCTGCAGAGTCTGAGTCATTGATAGGAAGGTCCTCCTTTGGGAGATCCTCTTGTAACGATGGAGCAGTGACTTGGAGATTACTTATTAGGATGTTGTAAAATTCTTGATATTCCCGTATTTTCTTTTATAATACATCATGAAAACTGGTGCATTCTGACAGGTAATGGCCAGAGAGAGAAAGAGGGGAGGAGTGAGAAAGAGGAAGAGGAGAGAGAAAAGGGGAATGAGAGAGAAAGCGGGGAGGAGAGAGAGTAGGGAGAAGACAAAATTACCTTACTGAGGGGTACCGATCCTTTTCTTCTCTTTCCTATCTCTCTCTTCAAGACACCCCCACGAACTTAAGCAGGAAATTGAAGTTTTATTCAATGGTCGAAGGTTGAACCGAAAGGTCCAATACAATTTAGCTTTTCATGTTTATATAGAATTGGGCCCAAACATCGATGGACGCCCAAAAATACCTAAAATTAAAGATAATTACAATTTAATTGAATTAAAAAAAATTCTAAAAATAGGTGCAAAAAGATTGTTTTGCCCCACTAAGCCTTATTCAAATTACCAGAAAGAATGAAATGCATTCCATTTGTGAGAACATGCATGACACAAGGTCTTGACAAAAAAAGTGGATCGAGAATTTGAACCTCGAACTGCAAGTCAACTTCGAAAAAAAAACGCTCTGAGAATTCGAAGCTTGGACCAAAACTTAAGTTTTGAAAAAATGAAACGGTCCGAGAATTTGAACCTCGGACCGCAACTTAAGTTTTTGAAAAAATAAAGTAGTATGAGCATTTGAACATGTGACTGCAACTTAAGTTTTTCAAAAAATAAAGTAGTCTAGGAATTTAAAACTTGGACCGTAACTTAAGTTTTGAAAAAATAAAGCGGTCTTAGAATTTCAACCTTGGATCGCAACTTGAGTTTTGAAAAAAAATTAAGGCGGTCTGATAATTTCAACCGTGGACCGCAAGGTTTTGAAAAAATAATACGGTCCGAGAATTCAACCTTGGACCGCTGGGGCAAACTTGGAAGAAAAAAAAAAAACCGCACATTGACCGTCCTTTCTAGTAATTTTTGGCTAAAAAGTGAGCATTCCGTATTTTCCTTTTTTTAGGATCCGTACGTAATTTCAAATTGTAACGAATAAGAGAGGAAGCAGACTGGGTGAAAGAGAGTATGACATGCCTACTTTTAGAGAGATGAATAAGTCATCCACATTTATTATTTTTAATCGCTACAGCTCTTAAGGGAAATGCTCAAATTTATTATTTCGTTTCAGGGCATTAAAAGGAATTCAAATATTGCATAAATAACATGATGCTAAGAAAGTTCAAATATTGCATAAATAACTTGATGCTCAGAATTTATGATACATTGAATCTCTCATTTTTTTTGAACGGTACATGGAATCTCTTGTTTTTTTTGAACAGTGCATTCAATCTCTTATTTTAAAGTTACTAATGTTATGGATGCTGATATGGCTTCAGAAATTAGAATGTCTTTGCAGGAGTATAAAGGAGATAGGGTAAAGGAACAATAAAAATCCATGAAATAAAGCCATTAAAGATAAATCTAATTAACCTGGCTAAAAATATTGCAAATATGAAAATTTGGTTGTAGAAAGACAAACAAAAACGGCGACCAAATAAAAATTTAATGGAAAATACTTGCGCCTGAAGAAAAACAACATTTAAAAGTACGCAAGTGATTTGAACCCTAGATATGGTCAAAATGAGTCTATTTAACTGTGAATCTAGATCATTTATTTAGTGAATTTCAAGATCTTAACCTTTACAAATTCAAAATCATTTTTTTTCCTTTTTAACATTGTTCATCTAATGATAATAAAATCATCTAAAAAAATTGGAAAAAAAAAAAATCCTTCTAAGATCTAGATCTACGCATTTTATCAAAATAGATGACCTAATGTAGAGCTACGGATGCACCTCAAAAATCCATCGGAAAAGGTAGTTTTAATGTTGACAAGCCCTTTGATTGATCATCTCGACATCGATATGTATGACCATGAAAAATAAAAAGATTTTAAGTCTAAAAAATAGTGCATTTTAAAACATATTATCTACACCATCCATTTTCAAGATTTTCATATGTTTATATATCTACTTGATTTTAACTATTTTTTAAATTTAAAATTCTATAATTAGATATAAAAATAGATTTTGAGATAATCCTAAGAACATTTTACATCAAAATTATATACGATGATAAAATTTGAAGGTGGACCTTACCTCTACAGCTACAAATGCATCTGTATGCCAACTGCACCCTATAATACTTAAAAATAGAATGTTTATATAACTTGTTACAATTTCAACTTTGTCTGATGTTCCAAACATCAGACTGCTTGTTAATTTTTATTTTTGTTATTTTTAATATTCATAAGGCCATCTAATATCGTAGAGCTGTTTGATATTTGAAACATTGATACTATTTAGAGGTATATACCTTAGTTTGATTGTTTGGGGCCATTTGTTTGAAAACACACTAGAAAGTAGCACAATTAACATTGCATGAAAGGCGCAGCTGAGTGTGGCATGCCCACAAATAATCGTCTAGAATGATACTACATAA